TTTTACATTTTCCAATTTTGTGGAGTGTCAGTTTTTGTAGTATGACCTAATGATTCTCTGTATTTCCTCAGTGTCTGGTGTTATGTCTGCCTTTCCATTTCTGATTTTGTTAATGTGAATGTTCTCACTCTGTCATTCGATTAGTTTGGATAAGGGTTTGTCTATCTTGCTGGTTTTCTCAAAGAATCAGCTCTTTGTTTCATTGACTCTTTGTACTGATTTCCTTGTTTCTATTTTACTGATTTCAGTCTTCAATTTGAGGATTTCTTGTCATCTACTCCTCCTGGGTGAATCTGCTTCCTTTTGTTCTAGAGCTTTCAGGTGAGCTGTTAAGTTGCTGGTGTGAGATTTCTCCACTTTCTTTATGTAGGTACTTAGTGCTATGAACTTTCCTCTTAGCCCTGCTTTCATAGTGTCCCATAATTTGGGGTATGTTGTGCCTTTATTTTCTTTGAACTCTAGGAAGTCTTTAAATTCTTTATTTATTTCTTCCTTTTCAATTTAATGAAGCACTGTTCAATTTTCATGAGTTTGTTGGTCTTCTGCAATTAACGTTGTTGTTGAATTCTAACTTTAAAACATGGTGATCTGATAAGATACGGGGGTTACTCCAATATTTTTGTATGCTTTGAGGTTTGCTTTGTTACTGAGAATGTGGTTAATTTTACAGAAGGTTCCATGAGGTGTTGAAAAGAAGGTATATTCTTTTTGGTTTGGGTGAAATGTTCTGTAGATGTCTGTTAAGTCCATTTCAGTGATGACATCTGTTAGTTCTCTTATTTCTCTGTTAATTTTCATTCTGTTTGACCTGACAATGGGGATAGTGGGGTGTTGAAGTCTCCTACTATTAGTGTGTGGGATGTGTGCTTTAAGCTTTAGTAATGTTTCTTTTATATTTTGGGGTGTATATTACATATAATATATATTATATTAATATATATTTATTAATACTATATATTAATATTATAATAATTAATATAATTAATCAATATCATATTAATATATTATTAATATTATATATAATATCCTTTTATATTTTGCTTTTGATGTATAAATGTTCAGGACTGAGACTTCATCTTGGTGGATTTTCCTGTGATGTGTATGGCATGTCCTTCTCCATCGATTCTGATTGATTTTAGTTTGAAGTGTATTTTATTAGATATTAGTTTAGCTACACCCACTCGTTTCTTGGGTCCACTTGATTGGAAAATCTTTTCCCATCCCTTTACTCTGAGGTAATGTCTGTCTTTGATGTTGAAGTGTGCTTCTTGTGTACAGCCAAAGGATGGATCCTGCTTTTGTATCCATTCTGTTAGTCCATGTCTTTTATAGGTGAATTGTATTTATAAAGAGATATTAATGACCAGTGATTGCTAATTCCTGTTATTTTTTTTTGGTGGTGGTAGTGTTTGTATGTTTCCCTTCTTTGGGGTTTACTGGTGTGAGATTATCTGTTTCCTGTGTTTTTTGTGGGTGCAATTAGCTTCCTTGGGTTGAAGTTGTCCTGCTAGTACTTTCTGTAAGGCTGTGTTTATGAATAAGTATTGTTTAAAATTAGTTTTGTCATGAAATATCTTGTTTTCTCTATTGATGGTGATTGAAAGCTTTGCTGGGTTGATTAGTCTGGACTTTCATTCGTGGTCTCTTAGTGTCTGCAGCACATCTGTCCAGGACCTTCTGAATTTCATGGTTTTCATTCAGAAGTCGGGTGTAATTTTGATAGGTCTGCTTTTATATGTTACTTGGCCTTTTTTCCTTTGCAGTTCCTAATGGTCTTTCTTTATTCTGTATGTTTTGTGTTTTGATTATTATATGGAGAAAGGACTTTTATTTGGTTCAATCTATTTGGTGTTCTGTAAGCTTCTTGTACCATCATAGGCATATCCTTCTTCAGGTTGGGAAAGTTTTCTTCTATAATTTGTTGAATATATTTTCTGTGCCTTTGATCTAGAGTTCTTCTTCTACACCTATCATTCTTAGGTTGTCCCAGATTTCCTGGATGTTTTGTGTTAAGAATTTGTTGGATTTATCAGTTTTTTTTAATTGATGAATCGATTTTCTCTATAGTATCTTCAACATTTAAAATTCTCTTTCCAACTCTTGCAATCTGCTGTTATGCTTGCATCTGTAGTTCCTGTTCGTTTACTCAGATTTTCCATTTCTAGAACTCCCTTGGTTTGTGTTTTATGTATTACCTTTATTTCAGTTTTCAAGTTTTGAACTGCTTCCTTCACTTGTATGATTGTTTTTTAATTGGTTTTCTTGAGTTTCTTTAAGAGTTTTATGATTTCTTCCTATTTTTTGTTTGTTTTTTCCTCCATTTCTTGAAGGGAATTTTTCATTTCCTTTTAAGGTTATAATAAAGTTATAGTTAAGATTATTTTCTTATGATTATTCTGGGTTAGCATGATCAGGTCTTCCAGTTGTATGACAACTGGGTTCTGGCATTACCATGTTGCTTTTTTAGGTTGTTGAATGAATTTTTGCATTGGCGCCTACCCACCTCTTTCTCCCATTGATACTGGCAGTGCAATCTTTGCAGTTGCTGTCTGTGTCTTAGGGAGCTGCTCTTAGCCTACTCTGTATAGTCACTGTCTGGATCTCAGGGAGTCACTGAGGTCTCTCTTGGTTTGCTCTGTGCAGTTGCAGCCTGTGCTTCAGAGCTCCTCTGAGGCCGCAGGGATGGGTGGGTTTGGAGGCAGAGTGGGTCTTGAAACTTACAAAGTCTGATTAATGTTGGGGTGGTGTTGGAGTAGCCTACCTGTAGGGCGCTTGCCTGCTAACTGGGTAGTGAAGCTGAGGCAGGTGGGGGAGGGGCCCAGGGTTTTGTCCCAGTACTGAGGGCCTAGAGTGTGGGGTGCCCAGCTGGCTGGCTGACTACTCACCTCTTGGTCTACTGTGTGTAGTTGCAGCCTGTGGTTCAGAACTCTCCTGAGACCACAGGGGATGGGTGGGTTTGGGAGCAGAGTGGGTCTTGTATCCTATACTATGATCCAAATAAAGCCCAACCTCTGCTAAAAGACATACTTCCTTCAGCAAGGTCACACTTCATAAGCCTCTCCCCAAAAGGCCAACTGGAGAAAATATGAGGGACATCTCACTCAAACCACAGTAACCAAGAGGGTTTCATCCCAGAAAGGCAATGTTGGCACAGATACGTGAATCAATAAAGTTAAGGACTAGAGACATGGCTGACTGGTTAAGAGCACTGGCTGTTCTTCCAGAGGATCTGGGTTTGATTCCCAGCACCCAAAAGATGGCTCACAACTGATTGTAATTCTAGTTCTAGGGAATGTGGTGCCATTTTTCTGGGCTCCCCCAGCACTATGCATTACAGAGACATGTATGCAGGCAAAGCACCATTATACATACAATAAAATCTTTTTTTTTAAAAAAAAGCAGCCAGCAGTGATGGTTCACTACATTAATCATAGTACTCAGGAGGCAGAGGCAACAGATCTCAGCAAGTTGGAGGCTTAGTCTATATAATGAGTTCTAGAACAGCCAGGACTTTGTAGATAAACTTTATCTCAAAAGAAAAGTAAAGAACATAAGGAAGGAAGAAAAGAAGGAAGGAAGAGAAACAAAGAAAGACCAAAAGAAAAATAAAAGAAAAAAAGAAATGTAACACCCCATTTAAATAAACTTAAGAAGTGAAACTGCAGCATTCAATTGATCACTGAAAAGATATTTGACAAGTTTAACATGTCTTCATAAAGTCTTGAAGACCTTAATTATAGATGGAACATATCTCTAAATAAGGGAGACTATAAATAAGACAACAATAGGCCACAATATATTAAACAGAAAAAACAGCATAACCTCTAAAATCAGGAATAAAGCTTGGGTGCCCACTGACCTCTCTCTGGTACATTATAGTGGTAGAAGTCATAACTATGGCAATTAGATGTGAGAAAAGCATAACAGAGATAGAAAGAGGAAAGGGAGAAGCCAAACAATCCCTAGCTGCAAGGGACAGCCTTCTTTAAAGACCATATAAAGTCTACAAAAAATACTTGAACCTAATAAACACAGAAAAGTTGCTGGATACAAAATCAATATTAAAGAAAAAACAGACTTCAAATATACTGAAAATATATTTGAAAAAATATACTCTGAGAGAAAAGAGGTGAGAAAAAATATCCCATTCAAATTAACTCAAAAAAATTATTTAGGAATATATCTACCCAAAGAAGAGAAAGTCTCTACAATGAAAATGCTGAGACATTGAACAAGAAAGCCATAGAAGATACTGTGTGATAAAAAGCACTTTCATGCTCTGAGGTTGGCACAACTAATACTGTGAGAATGGCTACATTGCCAAAATTAATTGACAGTTCCATGAGGTGACTATACAAATTTTGACATTGCTTGACAGTGTTGGTGTACACCTTTAATCCCAGCAAGTGGATCTCTGAGTTCAAGTCCAACCTAGTCCAAAGAGCAAGTTCCAGGACAGCCAGGACACAGAGAAACACTGTCTCATGAAACAAAACACGAAAAACGATTCAAACTCACAAAGTGAGATCCAGGACAGCCAAGAATATAAAAGGAAATCCTGTATCAAAAGAAAACAATACAAAACAAAATTTTTTTTGAAAAATTGGTTTATAAAAGTTCTCTAGTTCCTCATGAAAATCCAACACACCGATGATGTGTGTTCATATTTCACCGAGAAGACACACAAAGTAGCCTAGAAGCAAGAAAACATGACAAAGGTTTATGGTGTGCTGGGGCAATTAGGGTTGAGTTTAGAATTAGGGTAACAGATGCAGGTCAACAATAGGAAATCAGATTACAAAGCTGGGGTGCTGCCTGTAGCCAGACATCCCTAGAAGCAGTGGAATGGGAAGCACCTTTGTATCCATCTGTGTCGAGTAGTGCACATGAGAGGAGGCAGGAAGCCTAGGAGACTTTTGGGAAAGCCTTGTGTGAGGAGAAAACTCAGGCAAGGGGACCCCAGGAGTGACCTCACTTCCTTAACAATGACATAACAAAGCAGAACCTTCAAACCACTGAGTCAACTGCTTAGAGACATCCCAGCAGGCTCACTTGTCTTCAGACAGGAGACCAAATAGGATGCTGTGCTGTTGATTTCGGGTTTGTGGAAGCTGAGACCACAAGACCAAGAAAAGTGGAGGCCACGGTGGAGGCCGTGGAGGTGCCTGGAGACGCCTGGTTCACTCTTGGATCCAGCGTCTCTGGCCAAAATGAAACAAAATTGAGTCAGGGCAGCCAGAGCCAGGACCATGAAGACCAGGTAAACCACTCTGAAATCTCAATTTTCCCAAATTTCACTCTTGGCGTTTGGCAATGTAAAGGTTCTGGGAATTGTGGAATGATACTAACCAACCATCACATTGCAGTACTGTGCCGGTTTGAACTACCCACCCAAATCTCTCCTCAGCTTGAAAAGTGGTCAGCCCCAGAGGACCCTAAGGACACTGGCCAAGAGGACCCGAAGGAGTTAACCCCAGAAGAAACGAAGGAATCCAGATGAGAGAAAATGAAGGAGTCAAGTCCAGAGGAACCAAAGGAGTCTTCCTCAGAGGACCCTAAGGAGTCCTCTCAAGAGGACTTGAGTCCTCCATAGGGGACCTGAAGGAGTCCTCCCCACCAGATCCTCAGCCCTGCTCATTGTATTCATATGTTTAAGAGCTCAATATGTTCCCCCTTGCAGTATCACATGCACTGAGTCTTGGGAGGGGTGGCAAAGGAAGTTCATTTTACTAAGTGTCCTGTCTGTCCCTTTCCACCAGTACCATCTGTACCCTCCTGGACACATGGATTGACGAGATCCCTAAGGACTTTTCCAAGACATCAGACATGTCCGTTCTGAAGAGGGTGAGGACCTACGTAATTTTGAACATGCCCTGGTCAGGTCATCTTGTCCATGTTCACGAGCTCCATACTAAGTTACAGGCAAATGTGGCAAGTGATTCAGAGGATAGCAATTGAGAAGGACCCAGTTAGGTGCTTGACACTCGGGGAGGAGGTCTCGGGACCTGGAATGATGGAGGATCCTTTAGAGGCTGCTCTTTGCAGGAGCAGTAGTCACTTGACCCTTGCCTGAGCACATGATCCTTTGGAGGATAGAATGTGGGAATCCAGGCGGTCATGGTCTCCCCTATGTTTGGAAAGGCTGAGAAGGAGGTCTCACTGTGGGCAAGTTGTGGTCTCCTGTTTCTCCACTGCCACATCCCCTTCTAGAGATGCTTGTATCAGCACCACATCTATCTCCATCCATAGATCCGGAGAGCTGCAAGCTGAGCTGTACATCCAGATCTGGAGGTCAAGTCTGTTAACCAGCAATGAAGACAGCTATTCTCAAGCCAGAACCAGCCAGAACCAGAGCAGCCGGAGAGAAGAGAACCCAACAAGGTTCTGTGACACGTGTGCAGCTGGAGCTGCAGCCCTGGATGCTCCGCTTGCTCCACCTCTTACCCTGTCAGCAGACACAGGGCAACTTCTATGGGGGTCTAACTCCCCAGGGAATGGGCCCGCCCCCTTGCTCCTCTCCGTGTCCTTCATCTATCTGCTCTGCAGACAGCACCAGTTCTGTTGTTTCCACAGAATCACCCCCTGATTTCAACCCAGCAGCCTTCCCAGACCCACAGTCAGCCTCCCTCCCCTGAGTAATAGCCTTTTGAGTCTTTGGATGTTTTCAATGTTGTGTTAGTTTAAATATTGGTTTGAATAAATGATTCCTCTTTGTTCTTCATTGTGCAAATTGTGGTTAGACATGGGAAAGGCACAACAGGGATAGAAATGAACAGGATGAAGACAAACCATCCCTATTTGCAGGTGACAAGCTTCTTGACTTACAAGTCTATAGAAAGGCTACTAGGAAATCCTTGGACCTAACAAACATAGGAAAGATGCAGGATACAAAATCAATGTTAAAAACAAACAAACAGACATAAATGTATTAGAATATGCTAGGAGAGAAAGAGGTTGAATAAAATATCCCATTCAAATCTACACCAAAATATTAATTTAGGAATATATCTACCCAAGGAAGAGAAAGTCTCTAGAATGAGAATACTAAGACATTGAACAAGAAAGCCATGGAAGATACAGTGTGATGAAAAGCCCTTCTATGCTCTAGGGTTGACACAACTAATACTGTGGAATGGCTACACTGCCAAATTATTTTACAGTTCCATGAGAGGACTATCCAAATTCAGACATCTCTGGACAGTGCTGATGCACGGTTCTAATCCCAGCACTTCAGAGGAAGAGGCAAGTGGATCTCTGACTTCTAGTCGAACCTGGTCCACAGAGCAGGATCCAGGACAGTCAGGACACAAAGAAACACTGTTTCATGAATGAAACACAAAGAAAAATCACAATTCTGATCCTCATTTCTTAGGTTTAGGAAGAAAAAAGAAAAAAAAGGAAGATCTGAGAATGCATATGGAACCAGAGGGCAAATAACCGCCAAGGTGATCCAGGGAAGAGAGTTCTGCT